ACCACACCCTATACTTTTCCCCCTCCTCCAAAGAAAGGTGTTGGGTTCCTTTTTGGTTTTTTGCCTTTCAGAGGTAGGGGGATTGATCGGAAAAACTAAGGTGCTGCATTTTAAATGTAGAATATGGCATTTGCTAACTTAGGAAGCCACAGTGTTCTTGGCCCATCACGACATGGAGTAGCATTAACTGTTAAGTTTTGTGCTCCCAAATTTTTGTTTTTAAGAATTGCTTGCCCTGGCTGGTGTAACTCAGTGGACTGAGCGCAGGCCTGGGAACCAAACAACTGCAGTTCGATTCCTAGTCAGGGCACATGCCTGGGTTGCAGGCCAGTTTCCATCAAGGGACACACGAGAGGCAACCATACATTGTATTTCTCTCCCTCTCTCCTTCCCTTTCCCTCTAAAGATAAATAAATAAAATCTTTATATATATATATATATATATATATATATATATATATATATATATATACTTCTTGATACTCTTATAGCCTGTCTTCAGCTTTGAGCCTTTATTCTATTTGTCAGGCGCACCAGGCGCCTTTTTTAGCCTTCTGCCTTGTCACCAACCATTCCTACTTGGTGGCCATGCACTTGGGAAAAAAGCCACGTAATCTTTCCAGCATCGCTCAGTGTCTGAGGATACCCTGCTTCCTCTGCTTGCATCTCTCAAACTACCTCCCTCATCCTATTTCCTCTGGCAAATCTCTCCTTAGCTGAGGAGACTGTTATTTCCCTGAAACGCTACCTATCCTGGGTGGCATGTCTTTAAATTCTTCCTCTTCCTCTCTTCTTTAAGTAATGGGGCTAAGTTATACGAAAAGCTCACCCTGCAGACTGCCTTCTCAGTACCATACAAAACCACCAAACAGAAGAGGTATATATTTTTTATTTTAGAATGGAAGCTTCTCCAGAGGAGAAACAGTGGTTTTTCATATGTCCTATTGTGCCTAGTACACCATAAATGCTCAATAAATATTGATGACGGGGAGGAAGCTGCCTAACCTCTCCTCCGGACCTCAGGTTTTCCAGTCACAAATGGGTGGTGGTCCTATGTTATATGTCAACGTAAGGACAAAGTACAATTTTATGTGAAGAAAAAAAAGGCTGCTATAACAGCTTTTCATTTCAAGGCATCAAAAATTCAACTGCCTGACTGAAAAATAGGTATGGTCAAACGAGCCCATAGACGGATGCCTCTGAATACACTCACAAAACCACATGCACGTTTATTTCATGTTTCTGTTTTCTAAGTTTCTATTTTTAGACAGCTTGAACAAGCTAATTAAGAGGAAAGAAAATTCCACTGACTAACTTATCAGAAAGCTTGTCAATTTTCAAAAACTCAACAGATGGATGTAAACAGTAACTTCAACAGTGTGCTTTCTCCCAACCTCACCATCTTTTTTTTAAAAAAAACAACATTTATTTGGGGTATGAGATAGAAATTTCTATTTATTTATTTATTTATTTATTTATTTATTTATTTATTTATTTATTAGAGAGGGAGAAAAAGAGGGCGAGAAGCATTGATCAGTTGCTTCTTGCTCATGGTCTGACAGGGGAGTGAACCCACAACCAAGGCACTTGCCCAACCAGGAATCAAACCCATGACCTTTTGGTTCAAAGGCCTGACACTCAACCAACTGAGCCACACTGGCCAAGGCTCACCCTCAATCTTAATTACATCATTTCACAGTCTATTATCAATTTGCAGTTAGAGCTTTAAGCAAGTCTCTTCATTCCTGTCAGATTGGGTTTTTCAAATAAGGTAACAGGTATACTATTTTGGAATCCAGCAGACCTGTTCAAATCACAGCTCTATCACTTACTGGGTGAATGACCTTGAGCACATGACCTAAGCCCCTGAGTCTTAGTTTCCTCATCTGCAGCCTGGGGATTAATACCCACCTGGTTGACATGAGACTGCTGGACCACGAGCAGTGGTTTTTTGCAAGAATAAGACAGAAGAATGGAGCCCATAATAAGATCAATGAAAGGTTGTTCCCCTGCCCCCAGGACAGGTCTTGTGTGCTGGAGAAGCAAAGAAAGGCGGGACAGTCACTGATCTCAAAAATAACAGTGTCACAAGAGCCCTGGATACCCAGACAACATGATAAGTGCTCCAACAGACTGGGGTGGTGAGGGCTCAGAGAGAAGAGTTAGCAGGGCCTAAATGCTGATAGAGCTGGCTGGCAAAGGCTTGGCAAAAGTTTGTTTAAACTGAAGAGAGGAGTTGAAAGTCCAGCAGAAAACTGGGAGTAAGACTAGATAATTCTTTACAGACTCTCTAACCTCAAATTCCCCAAATCCAAGCCCTTTGATTTTTCCAAGGCTCATAGATGGATGCCACTGAATATACTCACAAAACCACATGCACGTTTATTTCACGTTTTTGTTTTCTAAGTTTCTGTTTTTAGACAGCTTGAACAAGCTGTCAGCTTGAACAAGCTGTCATGGTCACCCATGTCCCAACCAATCCAACAGGAATTTTGGGGGGGGCAATGAAAACAAATACCAAAAAGCTTTGAAAACTTTAATGTGCTTCCCAAGAGTGTAACTATGGCAATCCCATCCATGAAAATCTCTTAGTGCTTTAGTCCATGAAGAACTGAAAGGTGCCACTCCCCCTGATGAAATGGAGAAGAAAAGAGGGAATAAGGGAGGAGGAGGAGGAGGAGCAGCAGCAGCAGGAACAGGAGCAGCGCAGCAGCAGCAGCAACAGCAGCAGAAGCTGCCACCACCTACCCTTAAGTTCATGGAAAACCAAACCATAAAACAAAGGACAGCACCAAACACTTTTCATCTACTTTTGCAGGACTCATCAGAATCCAACTCTCCAGAAGTTCATACCTTATTACAATATGGAAGGCATAAAGAGGCAAGTGTATTTCTACAAAGAATGTCTACAAAGGATGGGTCATTTTTCAAGGCTGCATACACTATGCTAGCAAAGTAGGTACCATGACTTGGAACTTTTATATTTCTTCACACCTTGCACAGGTGCTTGGCACAACACACCTTGCTGGGAGAAGAGTTCTCCACAGAACTCCCTTACCTGCCAAGCTCAGGGTTCAGGGAGGCAAAAAGCCTGTGTAAGTCCAGAAGAGATCAGTACATCCCACAGGACAGTCCAGACTTGCTCCTGGCACAGGGCCTGGAGGGATGCGGTCCTGAGTCACGCCTTACAATCATTTGCACTTTACCAAACTCTTTAATGGCCAGTATCTCATTCAATGCTTACAAAAGAATAGCCCAGTAAGACTGGCAAGGATGACTAGCTCAATATTAAAACTAAAAAAACAAACGTTTAAAATGTACAAATAAAAATACAAATAGAAGATGAGAAGATGTGGTTTCTCCAATACAATCACTTGTTCCCAACACAAACACTGGAACAAGTACTATTCAGAAATAAACTATTCAGTCCCTTTGAATGCTTAACTACAGAGGAAAACTTTATCAGCGCAAATGCAATCACTGCTGTGCGGGATTCAGTACATGGTTTTTGTCAGCACCTGTCATCTGGTATCTAGAGCTACAAAACGCACATATAATTGGAGGGCAGGAGGGAGAGAGAAGGGCATGGATATTAAAACTCACTCTTTAAAATCGTTTTAACCTTCTATTCCAAGCCCTTCTTTACAGGGCATATTCTAGAGATGGAAATTAAGAACTTAATTCTCATTTTTTCCTGACCATGTTCTTGTGTGAATGGTTAAAAATAAAAGAGGGAGATAATCCTGAACATCTCTCTCTTAAAAAAAAAAAAAAAAAAAAAAACCTAACTAAAATGCCATGGAGAGAGCCCTGGAGGAGGGAGCTTGTATAGTTCTGGCACTGATACGGAATCGCAAATCACTGCGTCTCTGGGTCTCCGTTTTCCCCATCTCAACCCCAAAGATGGTTAAGCCCCCATCCTGTCTTCAGGCACAGACCAGATGCATTCCCAGGGCAGCAAAACTGTAAAGGGGCCCCTCACTGAGCCCCTGGGCTGAGGAATGGCCTTTCACAGGCCCCTAGGGGTTGGGGTTTCTGGAGAGAAAATAGCCCCTTCGCAAAGCCACTTGGCCAACTCCAGAGCGCAAACAAAAACCTGTTGGCAAGGACTCCTCTAGGAAGGACCAGCCTCTCCCGAAGCGCTCGGCTCCCGGCTCCGCACTCCCGGGGAGCCGCCCCACTGGGAAAGAAAGGAAGGTTCTCTTTCCACGCAGACTGACCGAAGAGTCGGGCCCCCACGCACCCATTCACCCACCAGCATTGGCCCAGCAGGACCTCCGGGAGGGGTCTCTGCCATCCCATGCGGAACAAAGGCAGCTGGAGCCCGGCTCTGCCGCCCCCGTCCCCGCTGTGCTGTGGGGGTGGGGTGGGGAGGGAGCCTGGTACCTCCGGAGGGGAAGGGAGCCCCGCTTCAGCTCAAAGGAGAGCGGGGTAGGGCCGGGATCCTGGACACAGAGGACCCCTCCCCCGATTCCTGGAGGAATGGGGTCCAGGCTCTACACGGGGGCGACAAGAGAGCAGGCTCAGCTCCGGAGAACAGGGGCACCCGGGCCGGGAGGGGCGGAAAGTGAGTGCTCTATGGAGAACAGGCTGAATTGTTCCGAGCTGAGAGGTGGAGGGTGAGGACCAGGAGGGGCTCCCGGAGCTAGGGTAGGATCACGGGAGCGCCAGACTGCCGGAATAGAAAATGAAAAGCTCTCAGATAGAAAAGGTGTGCTAGAGAGTGAGAGCGCGCGCGCGCGCGTGCGTGTGTGTGTGTGTGTGTGTGTGTGTGTGTGTGTGTGTGTTTCGGGGGCGAGAGGGAGGTCCTTGCAGCGGAAAGAGGGATCCAGATTAGGACTGGGCCATGCTCGAGCCTGTGGGGCGAGGTCTGGTGCCAAAGAAGGGGGGCCCGCCAGAGGTGCAGACCCAGCTTGGGCTGCAGGGATGCATACTTGGGGGGCTAATTCCCGAAGTGCCTGTGTTCTGGGGGCGGGGGAGGGTCCCCAAACCCGGCTTACCTTCGCTCCCTAAGGCCGGCCTGGGTGCGCGGCTACGGCCGCCAGTAGCGCTGGGGAGGCGAAAGCGACCGGAGCCCTGGGAGCCACAGGCGCTGGCGCCGCCACCACCGTGTCTAGCTCCGTTTGACACCCACACACCAGCCAACATGGCGGCCGAGAGGGGGCGCGCCGGCTGCGTGCGCGCGCCCGCTGCCCCGCCCCCAGTGCAGCTTAGGCCCCGCCCGCGCCTGCCTCCTGGTCTGGTAGCATCGCCCACGCCCCGTCCCCTGCAGCCTCCACCCAACCTTTCCACAACCCCACGTAGACCTCCCCACAGCTGGAACCTACAGTGGAATACCCTAAACAACTTCCTATTCCCCACACATGCGTCCCGACTATCCCAAATGCCACACATACCTGACAAATTCATACCCCAAAACCATGTACTGCTCAACTTCACTCAGGTTCCCCAAATATCCCCCTCCGCCCTATACACATCGCGCAACTCCTTGCCACCCTCCATCACGCACACAGACCAACGCATCCTAAGCTAAAGCTCGCGTTCTCGCGCCTTGCAATACGCACTTGAAAACATTGCTGGGATAGAGGCTTCTTAGCAGGGGGCACCTGGGCGCGGTGAGACGGCTCCTTGGGGCGCTGGCCACGCTTGGTTTCTTGAGCCGGATGCCCGGGTCAAAAGTGTTCACTTCTTGAAAATTCACTGATACACACTTTAGATTTGTACACTTTAATGTACCTGTGTTATACTTTAATGAAGCACGCTCAAAATTATTCTGAGAAGAGATGCGTAGGCTTTACTAGGCTACCAAAGGAGTAGTGGCGCTAAAAAGGTGGGGCCTCTTGGCCCCGAGGTGCATAGTCCGGACAGGAGGGGTTCCTAGATAACCCCGTTGCAGCCTTGGCCCTTCACAAGGCTTCACAGTCTCAAGGCAGCAACGGGAATCGCCTCTTCCCTCAGGTTCAACCAGCACCCACAAGGCACCTACTATGTGCCCAACGTGATACTTGGCACCGAAGGAGACACATACAAAGCCAGAGAAATGGCAGACCCTGGAGAGCTTCTCAGGACCTCACCTCTGCTCCAGCCCGGGTGAGCACTGCAGAGACTCCTCCCAGCGAGTCTGAGGAGTGGATCAGGGCTTGGCAGATAGCACCATCCATGCTGCCCAGGTGACATCAACACTATGCCAAACTCTGTTTGCAGGGAAGCTGTGTCCAGAACTTTCACTCTGCCCTCACTCACTAAGGGCCCTTAGGCAAGTAAGTCTTTGCACTTCTCTGAGCCTCAAATTCCTCCGCCCTATGGAGGAGCCAGATGGACCAAGGCATCCAATCTCTTCTGTTCTCACAAGCTGGGTTCTAGGCTAGATTTCCCTTCTCTGGCAAAAATATAAGCAGAAGACAGAGGAGGAAATAAAAGAGGAGGGGGAAGAGAAAGAGAGAGAAACTAACATATTTGCAAACCTACACAGCCATTTTCTATTTGAAAAGTCCCACACTGGTTCTGGATGCTAGAAACTCCTCCAACAGGTTGCTGCTGCCCTCCGAGGGCTCCTTGACCCTCCCGCTGCTCAGTGTCCCTTCTCCACTAGGAGAGTGAACTCAGTTTTATGTTGCCTGCCTTGTGGCAGGAACCCAAGCTCCCCATCCCAGGGAAGATAGTCAGTCCAACACTCCTTGCAAACCATAGCTCTTTGCTGGGCCTTACTAGCCCTTCTGGAAGAAAAGAACTTTACATGAAATCATGGCCCCTAGCCTCAGAAAGTTTGCAACTTCAGGTGAATTATGCCAACACATACTGGGTGCCTGGTTCAGGCTTGAGTGCCTTATATAGATTAGCTAAACCAGCACTGCCTGACCACCTCCCAAGTGCAATGATGGGATGTTCTCTAGTGATCTCGCCCACATGTAGGCACTGAAACGGGCTAGTGTGACCAAGGATCTCAGTTTTTAAGACCTTATTTAACTTAATTAATAAATTTAAGTAGCTAGATGCCACGCACTGAACAGTGCTGGCCTAGAAGGTTTAGAAGGTGAGCAATCTTTTTTCTTTTTAAAGATTTTATTTATTTATCTCTAGAGAGATGGGAAGGGAGAGAGAAAAAGAGGGAGAGAAAATTGATGTGAGAGAGAAACATTAATCTGTTGCCTCTCGCATACCCCCACCAGGGACCAGACAGCAACCCAGGCATGTGCCCTGATGGGGGATGGAACTAGCAACCCTTTGCCTTGCCCAACTGAGCCACACGGGCCAGAGCAAGGTGAGCATTCTTATTGCCCACATTTTATAGACTAAGAAATTGAGGCTTGGGTAAATGCCAAATTTTGGTCACCTAGGTTGGTTTTCCTACATGCAAAACCCATTCCTTTCCCCACTTACTTAGCAAGTCGTTGTAGTCACAGAGATAAGATGCAAACTTCAGAAAGAGAGCTGGATGCAGGTAAAGAGATGATGAGCTAACTACAGCCCAGGAAGCAAGTTGGAGGGCACGAAATTGAGTCAGGCTGGGGCATGGGAGAGGGTTTCCAGAGGCTGAAAGACCACCACACATGTGCGCAATCAAAGAGAACATTTCTTCATTCCTTCCTGCAACCCCTTTGAAACACATTGCCCTCTCTTGCTTCCCTTTCTCAATGCAACCTCATGAGGAGCCTCAAGGTCAGCAGCTCTATTCTCATTTTACTGACGGAAAGTCAGAGGCAGCATACCGTGATGCTGGGATTCAAACCCAGGTTCTACTCAGTCTGCAGGATGTAAGCAGTCTTGCAGGGGAGGGTGCCGGGTAAGACAGACTGTCCAAGCCCAGGACACAGAGCTAGAGCAGAGACTCATCTGCCCTTCCTAGAACTTGGAGGTTGGTTCCAGATGCATAATGAGGCAGAGTGATTGGGACTGTCTTGAATGCTGTGTTTCACATGCAGAAAGAGATGGCTCTGCAGGCCAGGGGTATCTCCAGTTAGGGAAGGAGGCTTCAAAGGGGAAAAAACTGCGGGCAGGGCAAGAGGATGTGCTGAGTAAAAAGCATCACTGAGTAAAGGTGCAGAAGAAGGTCCCAGGGATGAGCCCTAGATTCAAAACCATATCCAGCAGAAAGAAGCCTGTGCTGAAAATCCAAAACCACCTAAGTTCTTGACCGTGGCCACATCACTGCTCCTTCCAGGCCTCAGTTTCTCCATCTTGGAAGTGGAATAATAATCCCTCCCACCTTGTAGGAGTGCACTTCAGTTCAGAATGAAAAAGCAGAGGAGGAAATACTTTGGAAACTGTAAAGCCCTAGATAGGTGTTAGCAGTGATTCTTATTAAGATACAGGGATGAAGCTGTTCTGGCCCCTGCAGGTCCTAGAAGTCTAAAAGGGCATGGGGGTCCTGAACATGAGCAGGAACTGAAACTGCAATTACAAGGGGAACGTTTCTCACAGAGAAAGGGCTATGAGAGCTCAAGAAGGAAGTCCCCTTCTAGTTTGTGGAGAGGGAGTAATCAGGGCAGACTTTCTGGAAGTGGAGGTGCCGGATCTAGGAAATAATAGTAACATTAACAATAACAGCAAAGTAGTGAGTGATGTGCTAATGCTTTGCATAGGTTAACTCATTTCTTTTTCATCACAGCTCTGAGTTTGAGACCATCACTGTCCTTAATTCACAGATGAGGTTCAGAGAGATCCAACTATTTGCCCATGATCACAAAGCTAAAACTGGCACTGCTGGAAAACCCAGGCCTGTCTGATTTCAAACCCAGACTCTTGGGAAGAATTTGAATAGGCTAAGGGGAGAGGTTTCCCCTCCACTCCAGCCCCAGGGTTTGGTGTATAACCAAGCCTGAGTCCATCAGTACATCTTTCCCTAGTCATAGTGACTGGCTCAAGAATGGTCATATGTCTCAAGATAGACCAATGAAGCCCCAGACCAGGACTTCTGTAGAAACCATTGAAAAAGTGACACTTCTCTTTCTGTCAGGTTACTGGGCTGGTATAATTTAAGCCTAGAGCAGCTCCATACTGGTAGAGCCAGGGTGAGAATGAAGCCAACACAATGAGGGGCAGAGATGAGAGAAAAGACAGATTTCTGCTGCCATTGAGCACCTTGAACCAGCCATGCCTGAAGCTTTCATCGTGGACTTTTTAGCACATGAGTCAATACATCAGTTGGAACTAGTTTGATAGAAAACGCAATTTAAACTGGCTGAAATGATCATTGGAATCAATTGGCTCTTTTAACTAAAATAAAATCTTCCGAGCTGGGACTTCAGGTGCAATATGGCTAAGGCTCAGGAAAAAAATGAAATTTTTTCCCTGAAAGTTTGGGCCAAAAACGTGGGTGCGCATTATATACAGCAAAATAGGGTAATATATAGTTTCTACTCACAGCATTTCTGTTTCTTATTGACCGTGCATCTTCAGGCTTTTCCCCTCTAGCAGTGAAGATTCCAAGCAAGAAAAGCCCCTCTTTGAAATATTTTCTTGGGTCCACAAGGATTAGACATCTTACACACATCACTTCAGGGAATAGTCACCAAGACCCTGCAGGACAGGTGCTCTTGCTGTCACCATTTTACAGACAAGCAAAGTGAGGTGCAGAGAGAACAGGAGCTGGAGGCCTGCTGCTATGTGGGAGCAGGGACTGGTACCCTCTCAGGGCCCCTCCTCAGAAATGTGCACACTCCTCTTCTGTCAGAGACTTGCTTCCTCAGAAAATTTACAGACAAGTTGGACACACACCACCTTCATTAAGCTTTCAGCTCAGGTCAAGAGTTGAAATATAACCACTGAAAATGATAACAGAGAAGTCTGCCCAGAAGAGTAGCATTTGCGCTGGGTCTTTAGGGATGGCTAATCATTAGCTATACAGATATTGTGAGAGAGCAACCCAGGGACCGGGACAGGCTAAGCCAAGACCAGGAGGTGGGAAATCACAGACCAGTGGCGCAGCTCAGCTGGACTGCAGGACGCCTGGGAGAGAGGGGTGACTCAGGAGAAAATAGCTGGTAGGTGCTGTGGACACATACATTTGTGCCTGCTCTGCAGCTGTAGAGATCAGCCCTCCTTCTTGGCAGTCCAGAGTTTGGGCATACCCCTGGCTGGCCAGTGAGAATGCATATTTCAATGGCAATCATGATAGGTTCGGGGGTAGCATGCACTGAAGCCAAACCAGTAAGAGC